GTAATAATTCAAATGCAAGATACCGTTGATGAAACCTTATACATAAAATATGTCTACAGGTTAAACGATGCTCTTAATTTTTGAAATAATCTTTGAATAATACGAATGAATGACACAAAAAAAAAAGAACAAGGCATTTGACATATTTTATCACTTTAGCGAACTTTAGTATTAGTTTTCGACACCAGATGGAAAACTCTACACTCGAGTCGAAATTTATTGATAGAACTTTTATCGTAGGTAATATGAGATTTTTGGAAGGAAAATCGTAAATTCCTGTCATCTGAAGAAGTTATGACAGTAAATTGAGATTTTCCTACTAAAAAAATAGTTCAATAAAATTAATTACAATGACTTTAAAGATAACTCCAGTTTTTAATGCTTAATTATATTAAAAATTATATTTTGTCAGAAAATCTTTAATATAAAATATCGACGTTTAACTTTTAAATTATACTCCACAATTTAAATTAAAATATTTAATTTGTTTTTTCTTCACTAACGGAATAAGAGATGGCGCTAGAAACGACCGTTAGCCAATCAAAATAAATTATTTAAATTCGGGAAAACTTCTGGATATAATTGGTCAGTTTCAAATTTAAAAATTTTTAAATTAACGAATTTCAAATAATCAAGTTTTTTTTGTTGAAATATAAGTTACGAATCAATGATTATATCGTTTTTAAATATATAAGAAGTTATTTTATAGTTATAATTTTTATTTATCTATTTTTAATCCATGAAATGTCCGGTTTTTATTTAGGAAATACAGAATATATTTAATTGACAGATATTTTAAGTGCGTGCTTAGTGTTAATGGGAACTGCATGGCATTTTTCTGATCTCAATGATGTCACATAATGGTTCTAATAAACAATGGACAAAACTCGTTCCTATACTTCTCGGGAAGCAGTAACAAAAGGAAAATGCCATTTTAAAATTTCTACGAAAAGAATCTTCTAGTAAACAAGATTTAAAAAAACTCTTAACGAGGAAGAAATTAAAAATCTGTTATGAAAACAAATTATCTTTCTATTTTCTTTCGTTTTAAATTAGTTTTGATAGACATCTACTTGAGAAAAAAACTGATAGCGATAATGATTCTTAATGATGGTAAGGATAATTGATATAAGGATTTTTGACATGGTGAATTTATTTAATCATTACGTGCTTAATTTCAATAGTTTTCTGGTTGAGCAAGGAGCTAATCTTATGTAAGCTAAAATAGAATAAGAAATATCTTTAAAGGACGGAAGTCATTTTCGGGTTCTCGTCTTTCGTTAATCAGTTCTTTGCTTTTTCGAGATCTAATTTAACTTTTTGCACACTTAAAATACTCTTTAAAATGGTTAGACATTCAATTTAAATTTATATCCAATGCATAAGATTATCATTACTTAGTCATTTATTTAAATCTTACATATAATCTGACATCTAACAGTTCAAATCTATTGCATACAGTACATTTACTTATAAAGCATTCTAACATACATAATAGTCATTGTCTGATGATTTTTTGTATGAAATTTTAATCTATGCAGTAATTTCATTTGTATAATCACATGTGCAATCATTCTGTTACACATTTATATAATGTTCGTTTATACAATGTCTATATATAGCCTACTTTATATACAGACGTTTTTGCATAAATTTATCGCAATTTACATTTAATATTTCATTCATTATGCAGAAATGAATTGCGCCAAATTTATGATGACCACCGAAACTTCGTCGTAATCACATTACGACAATCCTCGAAACTTATAGACAGTATTTTCCTTTTTTACGTCATAATCTAATAATTACTATATTAAATTTTAAAAGATTTAAACACATGAATAATTTCTTATATTTAAAATGGTTTTTATCAGATCAAGAAAAGAATGAGTAATTTTCTATTTTCTTATATAGCACAACAGTTAGTACACCATTTATTTGTTTATGACAAGTTGGATTGATATAGATCTAATAACACAATAAAATAAAAGGCAAATATATAGCAAAATGTTAAGTCGAAACTTTTGCAGTGTTTAGTACAACATGCTAGAAGTCCATACTCGATTTATTTATTTATTTTAATTTACACTAGGGATTGTCTCACAGACAAAAGATTTCCTCCCTTAATAACAATAAAAAAAACCTAAAACACAACAAGAATTCAAGAATTATACAAAATAAGTTTACAATGACGTTTAAAACACAAAATCTATCTCTGTAGAAACATTTTCTGTTTGTTCTTCTGGAGATCTCTAATATTTAACTGTTGGAAATCTTTAAAGTAGTCTCTGATTGCTTTCAATTGAGAAATCTCTTTCACAATACTGAAAGCGAATTGTCACATGCCGTTAAGTCGTGTCAAGTAATCAATCTCCCTTCCAGGCACACTTACATGAAGCTCTACCAAAATAGGAAATTAAAACAACCGGCTCAAGACATAATCTCACGTATAAGGATTGCGTATAAACCCAAAATTTTGCTTTTTATTCCATTTTTTATATTTTTTAGGAGTAATTAAGCATATCCTATAAGTATTAAAATAGATTATTTTAATAGTTACTTATAACTATTTCCTGTAACTATTAAAATAATCTATTTTAATATTTTAATGATTATGTTTCCTATAGTTATAAAGCGTAAATAGAAAGGAAAACAATATAAAATCTTAAAGATATTTATTACTTTTACTATTTTTTAAAATAGAAATATGTAATACTTACACGATGAATAATACCATTTACTAGTTAATATGTAACACATATAGGGGAAATTATCACATAGATCTATGAGAAATATATAAAAAGAGGAAGAAGGAACAAAAACAACTTTCCCTAATTTCTATATCTCTTTTTTAGATTTAAAAAATGTTTTTCAATATCTCTTTCATGAAAACTAAAATACTTTTTAAAAAGTTTTAAGTGACAATGATCTGTAAATCTGTATTAAATTACATTTTTAAGGATAATGATTATTTTTTCAATTTGTATTATTCAATTACATAAAAATTTATCTGTTTAATGATATACAATTTTACCTGTAAAATAGTTTTTTACAGTGAAATATTTAAGTTGATCAGATTTATTGAAAACAGCATTGTTCTCAGAAGGAATGTTGCGTTAATATAAAGTTTTATAGCGAAAAAGTATTATTTAAAATCGATTTTTTAATATTATTTCATTGTTTATTAAGAAAAAAAATTGTTATTTTAAGAAATTAAGCTTCATACTCGAATAATTTTAATTTTTAAGTAATTTTATTTATAAAATTTTTTAATTACGAAGAATAAAGTCGAGTAACTCAGAAAAGGAAGTTAATTTCTCAAAAAAGACAATTTTAAATCACTTATAAATAATGTAGACTTGCCAATTAATAATGTAATTGTTTGTCTAATAGATTTTTAATTTTAAAAAAACGATTAAAAGTGCAAAATATATTTTAACATTTTCACAAAAGAATAAACACGAAACTAATTATCAAGCAATCGAAGCGAAACAAAATAAAGGTTCATAAATTGTTAAATATTGCATAATTGTAAGAAGGTTGAATGCTTCCAATTAAACATCTTTAATACTCTTTTTAAAACAATTAAATAAGTCTATCAAGAAAATAGAAAATTGTTTATATAAGAAAAACAAAGACTGTATTCAGGTGGGAGGTACGCACGAGAGCATGGCATCTCCTTGCAGTCATCGGTCACAAAAGATATAAATTAAAAGACAAAAATCTTTCAGATTACTTTAAATTATTATGTATTAGTGCTATTATTGCGGAAGTTTCATAAAACAATATAAAATTTAACTACTCTTTTCTATATTTATATTGGGAAATTCCATAATAATGGCATCACATATGACGAATCGCACTTATCAAATAGGTTGAGAAGCATAAAATATGATGAAGTTAAACAGTTATTATCCTTAAAAAGTGTGATTGAATCCTTGTCTGCCGGGTTTGTTTTTCTTTTGTAAAAATATTTCTTCATGCGGAAAGGATTCACATCATTTGTTATGTGGAGCGACACGTTGGGTGTGCGACATTACAGTTTCTTCGAGACTTTTAATGGGTGAGACAGACCACTCTCTTAATACACTTCTGGTAGAACTAGGTACTAACGAAGCTAATTTTTCATTAGTTGTAGGTAACTGGACTTTAGATCCAGCAATATTTTTGTATCAGTCGGTGACAGGAACCGAAATGACAGCTATCACGTTTTGTTGGGTAACGTTTATAAAAGCTCACACACCTTCCCTCATATTGTCACTTTTACATTGTCAGCAGCCATGGGTTGGCTGCAGGTAAGTGGAAGAAAACGTATTTACCAACTTATCACTTGCTTACTTATTAATATGGATATCTATTACAGAAGCTGTTGGTTTTAATTGTGTTGATAACCTGTCAGAGGTCGTATGGCAAAAAATCTGGACATTTCAAAACAGAAAAATGGAGTTCTATGACCGAAGTCAAAGAGGAGGAAGAAAAATCTTCTGATTCCGATTTGGAGCCTCTGGCTTCCAAGTTTGGTGGTTTCGACCATTATTTCCAGTAAGGAATTCTTATTTATTTAGTGGAAATTTAAGTTTACATAAAAATTTATTTTTCATTTCATATTTATCATTGAAATTGGAATCGATTGTATACTATGCTGGGTTTAAATTATCATAAAGGATCATGGTTAACAATAGTTATGAAATTATAATTAACACTATTAAGTGTTAATTGAACTTATTCTAGCTTATTTTCACAATTTTGAAAGCTGTTTCTTAAATTTTCTTCATACTTTTGAAGATTCTCTGTGAATGTAATAAAATCTTTTTCAACTTTTCTATTGTTTTAATAAATATTTCCTGTTTTATTTTAAAATATTTAAAGTTTTTAACTATGTTACATTAAGATTATTATGGAAAATTATTCTTGAAATTACTAAACGGTTGAAGATGAATTCAGTTCTCATCTTAATATAATAAATGTGTTGAAGCATTTTGTAAATTTTCTTCAATTTATTATTGATAATGTTTGTTGTTTGCAGGTTTGCAGACGTGTTTGGACCTAAGAAATATGTTTTCGAGTACAAAAGAGGAGGTCCTCATAATTATAGAGAAAGAACAGAGAAGAGAGATGGTCATAGTTTCCATACTAAGGTTCATTGGGGAGATGATCATGGAGGTCATGGTTCTCATATTTGGGATTATAATCATATTCCTGGACACGATGATTACGACCATGATCATCACGGCAAAGGCGGTGGTGATGGAGGAGGAGGGGACGGAGGATACAGTCATCATGGTGGTGGAGGTGACAGCCACCACGGACATGGAGGTGGTGGTGGAGGAGGGCATGGTCATCATGGACATGGCGGTGGTGGTGGTGGAGGAGGAGGACATGGGGATCATGGACATGATGGTGGCGGTGGTGGAGGATATCACGGACATCATGGTGGTGGAGATGGTGGCCACCACGGACATGGAGGAGGTGGTGGAGGAGGACATGGACATCATGACCATCACGGACATGGGGGTGGAGGAGGAGGAGGCGGACACGGATATCATGATCACCATGGGCATGGCGGTGGAGGAGGAGACGGAGGACATGGCCACCATGACCCCCATGGACATGGAGGTGGAGGAGGAGGAGGAGGAGGACATGGCAACCATGACCACCATGGACATGGCGGTGGAGGAGGAGGAGGACATGGCCACCATGACCACCATGGACATGGCGGGGGTGGAGAAGGAGGAGGAGGAAAACATGGTCATCATGGTCACCATGGACATGGACATGGTGGTGGCGGTGGTGGAGGAGGACATGGTCATAATGGTCACCATGGACATGGTGGTGGCGGCGGTGGAGGAGGACATGGTCATGATGGTCACCATGGACATGGTGGTGGCGGTGGTGGAGGAGGACATGGTCATCATGGACATGGTGGCGGTGGAGGAGGAGGAGGACATGATCATCACGGACATGGTGGTGGCGGTGGTGGAGGGGGACACGGACATCATGGACACCATGAGCATGGTGGTGGAGGAGGACATGGTCACCATGGACATGGCGGGGGTGGAGGAGGAGGAGGAGGAGGACATGGTCACCATGGACATGGCGGCGGTGGAGGAGGAGGAGGAGGAGGACATGGTCACCATGGGCATGGTGGAGATGGTGGTGGTGGATACGGACATCACGGTCACGGAGGAGGCGAAGGAGGAGGAGGAGGAAAAGGACTTGGTCATCATGGGCACGGTGGTGGAGGACACAGTCACTTTCATCACGGACTTCATAAACGCCATGATAAAAAAGATGGAAAGAAAGATGAAAACCATAAAAAACGCTACAAAGGTGACGGCTACGGAGCAAAAGCCTCAAAAAAGTCATAAAAATATGTTTGTAAAACTTGTTTCTAGTTATGCGTATTTTAAATACTGTACATAGATTTTTAATTTTGTTAATTGCACTCTGTTGTTATTATATTGAATATTTTCAATGACTCTACTTTATTAGAGTAAAATTGGTTAGAAATCAACAGTTAAAGAATTGTTACGTTGTTTTACTTAAAAACTTAATTTATTTACATTATTCTTTTACTTATAAAATATTCCTTTATACTTAAAAACAACAAATTTTATTTAATTTATAATTATTTTAAGGAAAATATTAAAATATTAAGGAAAATATTAAAACATTTGTTACAAAAGTTCATCGTAACAAATGCGTATTGTAGCACATTACAGAAGTCAAAATTGCATTCAAGAAAATAAATCATTACGAATATTTTATAATTAAATATAAATATTTAAAGCAGTTAAAATATTCAATTATTTCATAAATCTTAATATAAATAATTATTGTTAAAAACTAATAAAGCAAATTAAACGTTTATAAAACTGTTTTATAAGACTGTTTGAAATTAATATATAATATATTATATTATATAAGATTAAAACGTCCCTAAATGTTTATATTATTTCTGTAGTAATCCAAGACTTTTTATCAAATAAGATTTTAAAATAGTTTTTTAAAAATATAAATTGAATTTCATAGCGTTAATTAAGACTTCTCTTTCTCAACTACTTTCTGATATGTGTATGAAGTGTTTGAAATCTTTATATTCAATGTAATAAAGTGAAGATTTTATAAATTATTGTTCTTAATTAATTAATTTTCAGGATCTTTATCTTCAAACAGAGCATAATTTCTAAATTATTTTATTTTTAACATTACCTAAAATGAGATTTCATTTAAAATTCATCATTGAATTAATCTATATTCATAAAAATTTGCGATTTTAAAGAAAATCGATTTAAATGATTAAAAGACTTCATATAATTAATAATTTTTATCTGCATCAAATGAAAAATCATATCAATAGATTCATTAACAGCAAATTAGAGGAAGCACAAAGTTGCAAGACCCTTTATATATAAGTTTATGTAATGTAAAATATATACTATTGTGATCAAAAATTGTCGTGAATTGATAATTTAAACTGTATGCGTGCAAGAGGGCGCCATCGTCGGTTTATCGTCGCTTACGAGTTCGACTTCAACGACATCTAGCGGCAATCCGTACGTCATTGTCTGTTTTCGTTTGCAAATAAACGCTTGTTTTGTGTGAAAAGAATTTTTGCGCCGGCGATTTTTCAAAATATAGTGTAATTGACAAAGAACGTGCAGTAAATTTTGTTTTCGCAATGGAATTACAACGTTGGAAATGTTGCAAAAAGCCTTTGGTAACGATAGTCTATCAAAAACATTCAAGTAGTACAAGATATTCTAGGAGAAAGCGTCGAAGATGCACCAAGCTCTGGTACTGTAGACAGTCCACCTCGACTGATGAACAACGCGTTGCTCGAGTCAAAGATTTGATGCTCAATGATCATCGTTTAAAAATTAGGGGCATTATTGAACATGCTCCAGTATCATTTGGATCTTGTTAAGAAATTTAAAAAATTATTTGAGCTTATCCAGTCGTCCCGGAAAACGTTGATTTTTTTCTAAACACAACAACGTGTTCGAGTGGCTGAGGAAATGCTTTCTTGAGACGAATTGTATTTAAACGCATTATTACGGGTGATGAAACATAGATGTACACTTTTGACACCGAAACAGCTCGACAATCGAGTGAATGGCGCTCGAAAGGTGAAGCCAAGCCAAAAAGAACACGTTAAAAATGAAGGTCGTGTTGATCGTTTTCTTTGATTGTTATGGCGTTGTGTATCGAGAATTCCTTTCTATTGGCCAAACTCTCAACAAAGAAAATATTATTTGAGCGTTTAGCGTCGTTTGCGTAAAGCAATTTGTAGAAAACGATCTGATTTGTGGCGAGAAAACTAATAGTTTTGCATAAAAATAATGCACCTGCTCTTGTTATTAAACCCACGACCAACTGCCAGTGTTCAGTGGTTTTATTCACTCGCCCACTGGTGGGCGCGGTCTTTTGAGACGATAAATTTTGCTGTCATTAATTTCAAGCATGTTCTTTGTCCTTTTTTAAAATAAAGACACGTCTGTATGGTTTGTTCTAAATGTATAAACTTTTCTAACCTGCAATCTAACGTAAGCCTCCGTAACGTAATTGAATATAATCCTTCTATTACAAAATGTTCATACTTCTCTTCTAGTTAAAAACTTATGTCTAAAGCCACCTCTGAGTTTCATAATGTATGGTATATAGTCAAGCTTCGATGTAGAATTTGTTCGTCTTCGAAATTGACACTAAATCGAATGTGGCTCTAAACCGAAAAGACCACAAACAATAACAATTGTAAATTTCCAAAAGAAATTAATTTTATGGACCAGATTTATATCTTGTAGTTAAATTCTGTATAGACTAATTACATATAAATGTTACACCTCTTTTATATCCGCATTTTAAGAAAAACTAAGACCATTAAAACAACATAATAAACCTTTAATGCTGTGAATTTCGAATGAACGATACATCCTACTTCAAGGTACAATTAAAATAATTATAGATGTATAATATGGAGATATAAATAATAAATTAAAAATATACAATATAAAAACTCAAGCCTGTTTTTCTTATTATTATAATGAGGTAAATTCACTCCTTTAACCAACTTCCTCCAATTCATGTACAGTACAAGTACAACTTCCTACCCTAATCCGCGTGTACAACTTTTATTACTAATGATGATGTCAATGCACACGTCATCTATCTCCATGCTTTTATTGTTCATCCGAAATGCATAGCATTAAAGGTTTATAAAGTTGTTTTAATGGTCATGGTCTTTCTTAAAATACGGATATAAAAGAGGTGTAACATTTTTATTATTAATCTACACGGAATTTAACTAGAAGAAATAACAATATGAATTATATAAAACAAGACCCATAACAGTTTGAAAGTCACGTAATTTGTTGACACCAATGCCCTTTGCAATGTAAAATTGTACAGTACATTCAGTAATTCACAAGCCGAAACATATTTTATTTAATATTTATCCGTTCGTGAGTATTCATTGGCGCTCTATGAGGGTAGCGCTATATAAGAAGACACTACATCAAATTTTGACTGTAATTACACGTTCTTATACTTTAATAATATGCTTTAAAATAAACAAATCCAAAGCATTCATGATTCAAGATTCGGTTGTTTTATCTAAATTACTGTTTATTTAATTGTTTTGTATTTTAATTTAAAATAATTTAATCGATAAGATAAATAATACATTTTAAAATTAGCATTTTGAAGTTAATGACCTTAAATTAATTTATAATAAATAAAATCTTTATTATATTTACTGTAATTTTAAAATAAAGTCTACTTCTAAACAATTTAAATTTATTAGTTTGCGCTTTCGTAAATCATTCCTACATATAATTTAACTCAAAATTTCGTTAAGCTTCTGTAATTTATGCATTGTTAATTATAAACTATTACACAGTAGAATCTGTTATATTCAATCATCTCAAATATGATGAATAATGATTAATATTCACTTCCAAACGACTCTAAATTGCCATTGCATTCGAGAAAATACGTAACTAAAGCTAATATTTGAATTAATTAATGTTAATTAAGGGCTGCCAATCATATCTAGATTATTTTGAGAAACTTCTAAAATATATATTAATATTTATAGAAAATATTTTAAAATATGATCCATTTATCACGAGATTTTGTAAATTAATTCAGTTAACTGGCTCAAAACTCAGTTAACTAAGATGAATTTTAGGAATATATTTCGGTTAACTGACTTTTGGGCTACTCACATTTTACTGTAAAACTTATTACAAAAAAGTGATTTTTAAACAGTTTAAATTTTCAGAATAATTATTCGAAAGTTAGGAAATTGTAAAGACCTTTAAATAAATTTCACCAATAATTATAAAACTTAGTGTACGGTATGACAATAAATTGCGAAAGTTGAACTTTAAAACTAATAATAATGAATATTTAAACAAGTCTTATGTAAAATATTGTAAATTTGAATTTATAAATGTAAATCGATTCGAATTTATAAAGGATTATAAAGAATTGTCTATATGATAATCCATGATGAACCTATTTATTTATGGCTTATTACAATTTATTATGCTGCATTTATCAAACATTTTGATGTAAACTAATATTACGGACAATTTAGAGATCATAAAGCAACATTTTCTTAATATTTGCTTGTTGTTAATTCCTCATGATTGTAATTATTACTATTTTTTCTAAATATTTGCGCATGAATGTGATTCATTTAAGATAATATTTAGAGTAAAATCAAGTCGTTATTATTAAATTGATTAATATAAAACAGATAAAATCTAAGAATTTTATAGTTCTTTACTGCAGTTTTAGCTTTGTTAAAATCATTATGAAATTCATAACAAAAGTTATACAAATTATTAAGATTATATACAATGACTTTTCTTTTTAAGTTATGGCCTGTTGTAATTTTGTTTATGATAGTTTTTAATCATTATGAATAATTTTCTCTTTAATTTTAAAAGTTATTACAACAATAAAAATAATAAATTAACTCTATATGCATATCTTTGTAATATTTTATACTTATTTTCGAAAATTTATATACATAAAATTTTATCTGTAGAATTATCAAATCATCTATTTTCTACTAGAAAAACTTTATATTTTTCTTAAGCAATTTATTAGAATTTTATAATTTGTGGGAGAAAATACATAGAACTTTTAATTTATTTTCATTTTATTTCATCTAATTTTTCTACATATATTTAATTCATCAAAATGTTTATTGGTATGACGCAATTTTTATTTGTTGCTACAGCACTGTAATTATATAACTTTTAACGATTTA